TGTGTACGAAAGGTGGTGCTGGACACTGTGTACCATTGCAAACTACGACGGAAAAAAGGCCGGAGGTCATTGCTTATAGGTGCTTTTAAAATTTGTTGATTGGAATGGGAAAATAAAATAACACACTCCTGTTTCTTCTTACCTGCAGCAGTTCAAAACTTCGGGAAATGTGTCACCTAAATGAACTCGCTTGAATTGACATTGTTCGTTTTCTTCTTTTCTTCGGATCACGTTGGTGTGCGTTAGATCAATTACTTCGCATATGTTTTTCTTTCTCTACGTTTCTTCCAATATTCCTTCATTCTTTCAGATATTGCCTTTTTTCTCTCTTCTGACACTTTCTTTGACACTCTCTTCAACAAAACTTTCGTTGATTATAAATATTAAAATTTCATTGTTATTTCAATAAATGAGTACACTTAAAAGAAAATGTTGACGTTATTATTATTGTTATTGGGAATTAAATTTTGTCTACGTTGAATATCGTTTTTCCAAATTCCACGACTTTAAAATTATTTTAATTTGTTTTTCTCTTGTATTTCAGGTTCAAACATAACAGTGTTAATGGTCAGTTGAATATTTTTGTTATGGTGATCTATGTACACTGGTAAAAACTAGTTTAATTTCAATGAAACTATGTATTTATGAAAATGCAGTAACTTGATTCAAATACCGTTACTCAAGGAGTGCAGTTTTGCTGATAGTATACGAGCTAGTGTGTTGCCAATAATATCACGTGCATAAAAGAAAACCGAACTTTCGTTGACTATAAATATTACAATTTCATTGTTATTTCAATAAATGAGTATGCTGAAAATACAATTTTCTTCTTATTTTTGTGCTTTAAAACAATGAATATACAAAAACTCAATATTATTGCGTCAGAGATTATGCCAGTCTATTCAGTGATGATCCACACGGTTGGTTAGTTTGAGTTGTTCCTTGGGTATTAATATTATTATCATTCATTTAATGGAGGATTCCAACATTTAGAATTTCTGAAAACTTGAGAAGTTCAAGATATGGATTTGGATTTGAGAAAGATATCAGAAGCTCATAATGACTTGTTCTCTTATAAATGATCACATTTTACTCTAAACAAAGCAATGGGTAACGCAATGTGAAAAAAGCCTTTCTCACTTAAAGGATGTCCAAGAGTTTATAAAACACACACGAATGTGCATCTAAACACTTTTAGAATTTATTGAAAACTTCACGAATGTAGTAAATATCATTAATAGCGCTACTGAAAGTGCCACTCACCTGTGTTGTATTATACTATCTATGATTGTTTATTGTGAACGGTTTATTGTAGGTCCACGTAGGTGATGCCATCATTACACAATTAAAGAGGTTTAATCAGGAAGATATTTGTTTTTTCTTTGCCTGGGTAATACATCAATTTAACAATGACGTTTGGCTAAACCTGCACAAGGATAAAATGTATGTGTCTTAGAATCCATACCATCGAGAGAGAAATCTTTACGGGATTTCGTAAATACTCAGTCGTTTTCGAGTGATCATGGTTTCAATCGTCAATATAAAACGTGATTAAAATATATTCTTGTATTACAAAAAATAAAGGGAAATTTGAAACAAAATGAAATTTAAAATTTCACTCTAGCCTTTCGTATTCAAGTAATAAGGAAAACGATTGTTTACCTCAAGTTTTACTCATTACAAAATGTATGAAAAAATAAAATAACATTATTGTTACAATTTCTAACGAAGGATATGATATTGTTAGTATTGTGTGATTTTCTTACTCTTCCAAGATGGCTTACAATTATTGTTTGTTGTTTTTTTTTGCCCTACTTCAGGAGATAATTAGTAAAGCGCTATTTACCTTGCGGTCCCCAGGGATAATGTATATATCGTTTCATCTTGAGCACATCTTACAGCTGCTAGATAATGAAGATTATCCGAGTAGCGTGAACGTAATTACAAATCCAGACATTTCCCGTAACATACATATGCATTCTTTCTTTCGTATAAGGCGATCAAAGATGTTCTCGAAGTACTTCATTTAGTGTTAAAGAGTTTCTAAATTATAAAAGAATACAGCTAATAAGGCAATTATTTATACTTCAAGGATTATCAGGATTTAAAGCAACATTGGAAACCAAACACGTGTTTCGCAAGGACTAGCCCAGTAAAGTGTGTCGTCGATTGAAAAGGTATGGAATATACTCTCATAAATTATAAATGTATCATTTCCGATCATATAGAAAGTGATCAACGTACATTATAGACTCATATTATTTGCATTTTAGTTAAGTCAAATACGAGACAATGTGTTTCGTGAGAGTACTATAATATCTGCAATTCATTCTTGTTTTAGACTTCCTGCATTCTTCCTGCATTATTGTTAATTTCTTCCACTTATTACAACTCATGATTGTCATTTTATGAAACTCAATTAGTAATGTTATTTGAAACTATAATTTTTATATATTGTTAAACAATAATGTACAATAAAAACTATATTGTAATATCTAATAATAAAAAATAATATTGTTAATGTTACGAGTATTATGTTTTTCAAACTATTAACAAAATCGAATTGATTTATGCTGATAGCAACTAGTTGAAATACATATTTATTTTGGATGTTCGGAGTATTTACAAATTATTCACCAACATTTAGTTACTTGACTCTTAATACTTCAGTTTCTTCTGAAAGAAATGTTTTCATTGTTATCCTCTTTTTGGTGCACATTATTTATATAGCCAAGAAACAGACGTGCAGTCCTTAAAAAAGTTCCAAAAATAGTTCAACAGTGAGACAGAAATCATAATAATTATAAAAATCACCATTTAATATTTTTTTTGATATATAGTTACTTATATTATGTAGTTCTCAGTTCAACACAATTTTTAATGATACACAATAAACATTTTTAACATCAAAGAACTTGTCTATAGTTCGTGTGAGTGATATTTATTTATACGACCAACTCTGCGCTTCGAAAGACCTTTGACTAAAGCGGTGCCTCCTTGGCAAGGTTTTTATTCTGTGCAACGTGTCTGATCTTGCACACTCCCTGGGAGAAGCGGAAGTTCGTTGCAACGGGACCTCTAGAGGATGAAGTGGTATGAAGGGTGAACAAACTGTTAACTGCCATTTAATGGACTACGGTATAGGCGGTTGGCCTTGTACAATGAGACTTTACAACAACAAACTCTAAACTTCTTTATTTCAAATGTTATTGAGATCTTAGTGAGGAACGAGTGTCTGTCTTAATTGGTAAAGAAACAAGTGTTACACTGTCAATACGAGATAAATACCTTTGTTTATTTTGTGTAGTTTCCTTTGAGTCGTATGAATGCGATTGATCACATTACTTATTTTAAAGTTTATTTCGTATATATTGTGTATCTTAATTGAAGAGAGTGAACAATTTCTCCGTTATTATTTGATCGTCGGCGTTTAAAAACATCTCTTCTTTACAACTATTATCCAATTAGTTGTTTATTTCACGCTAAATGACTTGTTTGAATTAGATAAACTGACCTTGAATTCACGAGATTGCCTAAACGAACGTGAGGTATTTTTGTCGATCGTTAAAATTTGTACAAATCTATGTCCAAAGTAAAATACCCGAACTTAAAATGTAAATAAATTGTTCAAAAAGGGTTGGCTACCACATATTTCTGTTAATCAACTTTTTCTCACTTAACCACAAGAAAAATATTTTAGAATGAAACTATCCACCACTACGCGCCGCTTAACCTATCGCACTTACGCCCTTTTCTTGATTTGGAGGAGAAATGAGAGCGGAGTCAGGGGAAGTTGTCCGTGTTCAAGGAGCGCCAGACTTTCCAGGCAGGCGTACGCGGTTAGATATGGCTGCTCTAACAAGGTGTGTAGGCAGAATCTGTTTTGTAACTCCTTAATACCGAAAACATTGGTGTCCGACAAAACACCTCGCAGGGGGGATCGTGTCTGCGTAGTAATGGAGTCTGTAATGGTCTGCGGTCTGTAATGGAGAGTTGTATACGACCACTCGGACCCTTCACGACGGCACTCACGTCGGTTTCAGGGCGGCACTCACGTCGTAGCTTCAAGGTGGAGGTAGTGAATAGGAGATGTCAAAGCTCCTGGTTGCCAGTTCAACCCGGTAACCCACCAGTTGGGCCCCTGGCGCGCCGACCGTAGGTCAGCATCGGGTGAAGGAGACCCACTAGGTGCTCTGGAATCACAAATAAACAAATAAAAGTCCGGCGGGAAAATTGCTACCTCCCGTCACGTTGCCCTGGATCTGGCAAACTCACTTCAATATGCAGTGTATGGCAATGGCTAGACGAGACGGGGGCTCCGAGCAGCTCGAACACTAGTTCGGATGGCCTCCAGATGGACTATTGGCTTCGTCGTGGCAGTGGCCCAACACTCTGGGCAAAGAGGAGGGACTTGATGTCCCGGTACATGTGAGTGGCGTGTTGTCATACGACAATATTGACTCGCTAGTAGCTCTGAGCTATCAGGGCGGCCCGTCCCAGGAATTGAATGGGGAGGTTGCCGACAAGGCGTATTGGCCAAATCTGGATATTGGCCGGCCGCTGTACTTATGCAGTGTGTGGATAGAGCCTAGGTGCCCACCCTGAGGGCTTGTGGCTCCTAATATAACCAGAGAGACAACGTGTCCGACAAAACATCCGTCCGTTTGCCTCTCTTACCGTTTGTCTGTGAACACTAGCAGTGTTGCGAAACTTCAAGGACATTTTCAATCTTTTCTCCAAAATGGGTCCACATTTTTGGTTTTAAGTTTTATTATCGGATGCAGGAAAGAAAGGTTACAACATTGGTGCAGGTCCGACTTTCGTTGAATTATCATACTTTTCGAAAATAGCAAAAGTTAACATTTTCCCGGCGTCGTCGTACAATTATAATATTTCAGATATAGATTTTTCTTATGAATGAAATCTGTTCTTCAAAATTAGATCATTAAATGAGATCACTTACATTTTTTTCAAAATGTGCGAAATTTTCGCGTAATTTCGCAAGAAATGAAGGTAAATTTTGTCTTTAATTTTTTATTGAATATCATAAAGTACTCTTAAAAACGTCGCAAGTTTGATTTGTATTGACTGATTGAATTTTCGAAAATTGCAAAAGCTACAAATAATATGAGAATCTATGTGCTATCGTAATTTTTTTCGATAACTTTGTAAGTAATATTCGTAAACTTTGACGTGGGAAAGTACAACATATGGAATTATCGTATATGGGAATTATCTTTTATTAATGTTGGCAAATACGTTAAGAACTGCCGGCTTTCTTTTTCTTTTCGTGAAAAGTAATACAAACTGACATATCTTCATTATACACACCGACTGCATCCATCTTTATTATTTATAATAATCTCTTATATTATTATTATTATTATTATTACCATCAGTAACTTTGTAATTTAGCATCTGCAGTAATTCGCTGAATTTGATGCTGAACCAAGTAAAAGTAAGTAAACGTCGTAAATTCAAAGGCTCCGGATTCCCTGTCATTTTTTATTAATTCTATTTTAAGTCACAATTACAACTTAAGCCATTAGCGACTAACAGTACAGACTATTACATATATACGTTCAGTTAAGCTCAGTTCATGTTAAGCTGCGATATAAAGTTAAATATCATTAAAAATATTAACTCTTCTACGTATTGAATGATTTTTTCTTGAAAACTTGATGACACTAGAATTGTCTTGAAATTGTCTTCCCGTAGGTAACATAATCTTTGTTGGTTGTAATTTACCCAAGCATTAAGAAAATGATACACAGATTTGCGCTACATCTTTCACGTAAGGGATGTGCGATTTGGTTTATAAGGTGTATGTGTGATAGATGTGTGTGACCTCTTGTGATCCTCCAGATAAGTCTGTTCTTTTCGATTCAGTGTGGAACTTGTAGTATGCCCTCTGAAGTTCCTTATATTATTGTGGAGATTGCTAGATTTGAAGCCTCGTCATACATTATTCCATTGAGTCAATTTATCGTTATTATTATTATTATTATTATTATTATTATTATTATTATTATTATTATTACAAATTACAAATATCTTGTAATTTTTTATTTTAGTTTTTATTGCATTTTATTACAGTTTTATTATATTTGTATAATATTTTATATATTTTATTTTATTATATTTTGATATTTTTTATTTTAGTTTTAATTTTATTTTTTATTTCATTTTTATTTTATTTTTATTTCACTTTTTATTTGATTTTTTATTTTAATTTTTTAATTTATATATATATATATATATATATATATATATATATATTATTTTTTATTTTCGGTTGTTTAGTTGTGTTCAAGTGCCCTTGCGCGTGTGCCAGGTGGCGCGGCTGCGGCGGCGCGGGGAGCAGGCGCTGGCGCACGCGCGGGAGCTGCTGCGCTCGAGCGAGTGGCGCGTGGACGCCGAGGAGGCGCGCACGGGCGACCGCGTGCAGTCGGCGCACGTGGCCGGCGTCGGCCGCGTCTTCCTGCTCACGGTCAGTTCTTGCTCACGCCCACCCCGCGTGCAGTTTGTCATGTTTCCCGTCACGGCAATGCAAGGCAGTGGGGATTGTTGTTATTTATGCACCGACGGGGTATTAAGGGTCCTAATGATCGAGCGGCGTCAAAAGACCCGAGAGGTTCTTGTCACCCGAGTTCATTACAACCAGATAGCACCACTCGTACATTCATTTTCTTTTACCAAATACTATTGATAAACGTCTGTCCGTGTATTCATCTGATCGTCCGGCAGTCGGTCTGTGCACAACGCTAAGCCGTTCTAGTAAAGCGTGAGAAGGAGTTTCACCAAAATTGTTCCCCAATCGACCCCCCCCCCCAATGCGGGCATATGCACACTCTCCCTAATTAGAGCTTATCATTTAGTCTATCTTGTTAGGAACGCTGCGGGCTTACGTACCCACCATTCCTCACGTAACCAAATGGTGACTGCAAGGGAAAGTACATTCCATTCACTTTCAATTGAGTCTCGTAAATTGTTCGTGTTTTCTACTCTTCGTTAGGTGCCCTGAGTTAATGATACACTCATGTATAATAATATACCTAGCAATTAACATTTCATATGATGCTAAATTAGTGTTCATACAAATTCAGTGGAGGGCATGATATGATCCGACAAGTAATATTCTCTTCTGAAATCATAATTTTCTCGAATGTAGTACATATTTAATAATTATTAACAAAATGTTTTGTCTGGAATTAGGCAATATTGTACATGTGTGCCAACATACCGTAAAGTGAGTTTACTTGCTTACATACACAAATCTGCAGTGACATGGATTTATCTAATTTTCCTTCTTTTTGCAGGCAATGTACGACTGCACTGCAGACGAACTGTGGAAAATTCTTTGTGAAGACATCGACAAACTTCCCAAGTGGTCTAGCTTATTTTCTAAAGCATGCCATCTGCAGGTCAGTTGATTCTGGTTGCAATGTATTATCAAGCCTAAGTAGAGTTTTTATGATTTGGCTGATTGTTCCAAGGTTAAATACTGTTTTGTGAGGAATGACCTTCTGGATCAATTAAATATTCTCAAATTTATATTCATTTACAACGTAACTAACGTAAGACATCTTTGAGATTGGAGAATCATTAAACCAGGCTGTTAGGGTAACGTTTGATAACCATTTTACTTATTTATAAGATGTTATGATACCAATATTGTACGTTTTATCCACTTTGTAAAAATTTCAACGAACTGGAATCTTTTTTTAAAATTAGACTATTCGTTTTGCGCAATGTGGAAGACTGATATTGATAGTAGTTAAGAGACCACGGATTGGACCCTGAGAAGTGGCTCAACTGGTGTCAATGCAGTGCGTCTGACCGGGAGGTCCTAGGTTCGACGGAGACATGATTCTCGACGCTAGCTAGATAGTTAGGTCGCATTCAGTCGCTTCGTGCAGACGAAGTCTGGATATTCAAGCCTAATAGAAGCCTTTGGTCATAATTCATTTCGCTTAATTCGCCTCCCAAGCGAATGCATGGCCCATGCCATGCAATTCGCCCCCCCCCCCCCCATTCTCTGCCAGACGGTGAAAGGAGCATAGCGCAATTTGCACGGTCAGACGGCAGAGCAGACCCGATGGCCTACGCCTCGCCACGGAAAATAACGCCTACTTGAATTGAAGTGAGTCGAACCGCTGTCTGCAGACGCTGGACGAGCAGACGGACGTGATGTACCACGAGACGGCGGGGCGCGGCGCGGGGCTCATCTCGCCGCGCGACTGGGTGAGCCTGCGCCACTGGGAGCGGCGCCGCGACTCCTTCCAGTCGGCCGCCGTCTCCGTCGACTTCCCGCTCGGCCACGACATCCTCAAGCGGAAGAACGTCCGGTGAGCCTCTCCAAACGCTTCTTGTGGACACGACTGAGCACGACAATTGATTCCGGGCGTGTCAACAACGTACGTTGGTTGTTCCGTAAGTACCAGTGCGTGTTATTTGCCGGAAGATGGCGGTCTTCTTTCGCCGGTGGAACGTAAAATACTGCAGTGGCCTACTCGTCAGTTTGCGGCGGTTTTCCCTCTCCAGGAATCTCCCTCCGCGATTCACCGCTCCAGCCGCGACAAACTACCGGATTACATTAGCAAATTACTGAATTAGCTACGTAGTAAGTTAGTTCTATGTTCTACTTAGTACTATGTAAGTCGATGTAAGTTTAGTTCAACCGCTGTCTGGAGAATTCTAGCGACCGGCTGTTCTGACCGTGGTTTCTCCTATCAACACCAGGCGAATTCCGAAACAGTATTGTAACAAATGAGCCATGACCGTCGCATGTCGGGAGACCAGTCGGGAGGTTGTCCTGGGCGAGACGGTGCCCCGCTGGAAGATGCCTGGATGAGGAAATGTGCAAGCCGACGATATCGCCATCTGCGTCAGATATCGCCATCTAGAGGGGAAAAATCTCTCCTATTTCCCCGCAATAAAACATGCACTACACTTACGGAACTAATTTCTTTGGCAGTTGTCGCGCTCAGAATCTTCAAACAACTAATGAATCAATGAAAACAGTCGCACAGTCACCCGGATTACATGACCCACTATATACATGTCTTGAGCCGCTTCGCGTCACCCACCTCCGCGTCACCCGCTCAGCCGCACCTCCTCTACGCCAGGCGCTTCACGCCTCCGTTTTTGATTTACCCCATCCACGGCTCCAGCGCTGTCCTCACGCTCTACTGTGCCCGCTTTGCGCGACCAGCCCGCTTCCGTTTCACTCACCCACCTCGCAGCGCTCCGGGCCTCACACAGCGACCACCCGTTTCGCACCACCTGTTCAGCTTTATTCCCTTCGCACCATCTGGTCTGCGCGACCCCCTCATCACCATCCGCTTCGCTCCGCTCGCTTCGCATCACTCCTTACGCGCCACTCTCTGCGCATCATGCGTTTCGCACCACCCGCATCGCCCCACCCGCTTCGCACCCTCCGGTCTGCACCGCCCGCTTCGCAACACCTGCTTCGCACGACCCGCATCGCCCCATCCGCTTCGCATCACCCGGTCTGCACCGCCCGCTTCGCAACACCTGCTTCGCACCACCCGCTTCGCACCACCCATTGTGCATCACCCGCTTCGCACCACACGCTTCGCACCACCCGCTTCAGATCATCCGCATCGCATCTTATGAGCGTTACCCGTCCGTTCCAGCCTGCTAATGATGCAGTCACTGTATCCGCTGGAAATATGGTATATACAGATCTCACGCAGAGCACTTACGTTTGAGGTTGCTGGGTTTCTAATGATTTGAAAACAGAGTTTGACTCCTTTGCCTTATAATAGTTTGCTATTAATATCCAATGCCGAATGATTTTCAAAATAATTTCATTTCTTTTTCCAAGCTATATCTAATGTTTGATGATGCTGTTTTTATTAATTCACTATCAGTTTATGTACTCTTTTTGGGCACAGAGTTCAAATTAGTTTTAGTATCGCCAATCTTCTGTTTCAAGAAGATTCTTTAAAGTGTTCAATAAAGTCTTCAATTAAATCATACGATGAATTCCTGAAAAGTACTATATTTTCTCTTATCACGAAGAATGAATTCCTTCTATGGTCACACTTTCACTTGTAGATTGACAGAGATAGTTTAATTTTATACAGTTGCGCAAGGAAACATGTCATCACAAACCCGTTCAGCTGATATTTTGCTTGAGAGCTTTTGTGATTGATGTGTCAATCAATCCACGTCCCTTCTGGTGCGCCGTCCCCGTTGCAATGCATTGCCCCCGCGCCACCCCCCAGCGGGCCCCCGCCTCCGCCGCCGCCGCCGCCGCCGCTGCCACGCCCACCCGCCGAGTGCGCTGCGCCCGGCCGCGCGCGTTGCATCAGCCCCATCGATGAGACCATCACGAGGCGCGGGCGTGCCTCCTCCGGGCTGTGCCGTCTGCGGGTCGTTCAATTGCTCGTTGTGCAGCGCATCTGGAATTATAGGAATGCTTCAGTGTTGCCATACGTCCTTAAAAAGCGGGTTATGTCGTGAATATCAACATGTGTCCTGCTGAACCGCCACAGTTTTCTTTGGTTTTGCCACATGTACTGAATTTTTACCCTCTGTTTTAATTCCATACAGTCCTACAAAAAGATCTGCGTTTTGGGGGTACTAGTGGACTACATTACTGAACTATGTACTACATAAGAGAATGATTTGGAAGAAGCTGTTAAATCCTTTGTTAAGCAAACATTGTTATTTTTGTCTTTTTACGGTGCATTCTGAGAGCTGAAAAATAGATAAAGAAGGGTACTGTTTTTTTTTGAATCGAAGTGTATCTGTCTTTCTTACAATGTGTTCTTATGGCAACCCTATTCAGAGGCGGTTTCTCAGTTGAGGGAAGGGGGGAATGTCCTCCACACACATTTCCTTCTAATTCTTCTGAATGTAATTAAATATAAAATATTTGCTTGGATGTAAGTGGGAAAAAGGACATTTTTATTGTTTAGAATTATCGGAAATTGTTTTTGATCGAAATTTTTAACCACGAAAGCTGTTTAGACGACGCGAAAACACGAAATCGCTTTTGAGGAATCGAAATCGCGAGGAGGAATTCGAGACTTTTTGCGTGACGAAGCGTTAAAGCAATGAAAGGTGAGCAGTCTGGCATCTATGTACTTGTCAATATCGGTCGCCGAAATAATCTATTTTATGAAATTTGTTCACCTTGAAGCGTGAAAGCAATCGACAGCAATATCGATACGGATCTTCTGCGCACGCACAGATTTGAGTTTCGCCGCACCACTATTGGCCTCTGGTGGAATATATTTGGAATTATACTAATCTGCTCGTAGCAACAGGCGGAAAATAATGATTGTGGTGCTTCTGCCAATATATTATTTAAATTATTTATTTTCCGCATATATGTTACATTAATCTGTATCAAACTTTGCAAGGACACTGTGACAATCCTGAAGAAACCCTTTAAAATTTCATATCTATTCATACACTGCATTTTGCGGCATTGATATCGGTTACATGTCGTTCAATTCACATTGATTAGGGAGTTTGTGCACGGCATAGCGGACAGGACTATCGATCTTCTACTCATGCGCAGATGTACAAACGTGATGCGAAACTTGAATTGCGCATGCGCAGAAGATCGATAGTGCACTAACGTTGGAGAGTGCACAAAATCCCTATTAGTAGAGAGTTTTTGCATGTTTTAGCGGAAAGCAATCGACTGCAATATCGATCTTCTGCGCATGCACAGATGCACAAAAGTGATGCGAAATTCAAACTGCGCATGCGTAGGAGATCGATTGTTCTGTCGATTTCATTTTTTCGCTTCGAACGCTTCATAGTGCAAAAACTCCCTAAAATAGATTATGTCGGCAACCGATATTGACAAGTAAATAGATACCAAATTGCTCACCTTTCACTGCAAATACTAGATTTCTAATTCGGCCATTCCATGTGGAATTTGTGGGGACAAAGCGAGTTCACGTGAGATTTCTTCGAAGACGTTCTAGTTTTCCCCCACCTTGCATTCTGCTCCATCAATATTCATTATCACTATTCCGCTTGTCACTGTCTCATTACTTGCATTCTTCTCTCGGGAATAAAAAGCACTCTCTAGTAGCAGACATTTGAGTTCGAACAAATCGGCTGCGGAGCAACCGCCCCATGTGGTCGATCGCCGAAGCAGCAATGCAATGAACGGAAAAAAACGTATTTTATCATTGCGTTTCTTTTTTAAATGTTATTTACATTTCAAGTAAGATTTAATGAATTGCACAAGTCCACCGGCAAAGAGCAGAGATGCTCAGAGCATCAACTGATGTCATTGAAGTGCCTCTAATCGGGAGCCCCGACTGTGGCAGGATTTTCGACACTATATCTTGTCAGCTAGGTCGAATTCAACCCCTGTGAGGAGGAGAATTCTAGCGGCTCTAATCGGTAGTTTTCTGTAGTCGCTTCTATCAATATCAGGCAAACGCCGGAGCAGTTCCCTAACAAACAAACAACGGACTGCGCGCGATCCTTTCTTCCTCTTCCTTCTTCTTTCCGCCCCTCACACACACACACACACACACACACACACACACTCGCATGCACTACACTAAAACACATGCCAGGACATCGGTCGGGAGCTTAGAGCTTGTCCCGGTTGGGATGGTGCCCCACTAGTTGGAGATACCTGTTTGGAGAAAATCTACTCAGAACGACGTAGGTCGGCTCCGGATCTTGCCATCGAGCAGGAAGATCACTGCAACCTCCTGCGAAAATTCATGCAGTATAATTTCTGGACTAATGGCCTTAGCAGTTGACGCGCTCCAAACCACTAATCAATCTATCGATTATTCAATCGAACAGCGGAACGGGACAGGGAATGGCATGGCGAGACGGAATGCGCAGAGGAGGGAGGACAGAGTGAGGACGAACTCCTATGTGGCGAGAATGTAAATGAATTTGCTTCCTTTTTACTCTATTCATAGCATGCATAAATCTATTTTCTTGTCTCTTAAATAATGTTTGTTTTTTACTTCAATAAACATGTGCTTAACCCTTTACCAACCAGCCATATAAACAACGAAATAAATGCGAGACCAGAGCAACGACCGTTAAAATGTTCGAGAGTCCATTAAAAATAGTTTAGTGGACTTTTACCAGCTCTCATAAATTTTTGGATAAATATGCCTTTGGCACAAAACAGAATTCTTAGGAAGAAATGGACACAAAATTTATTTTTACAATTGTTTTGGTACTGATATGTTGAAGTTTAAATTTTGAACTTTCCACTTAATGTAATACTTCTTGAAGTCGTGACATGTATGTCTTCATTAGTAATAGAGGAAACCGATTCTGAATTTTTTGCCCTTTTGTTCCGTTATCCGCTACCACTCCGCCTCGCACTTAACCTTCCGGTCTCATCCGTCAAGAGTAATTTAAATAACTTGTGGCATAAATAACTATCTGATAATAAATTCGCGGCGACGCTTCAGTTAGTAAAAAATAATGAAAAATTCTGTTTCGAAACTATTGAACTCATGTGCTTACTACAGCATATTAATACATGAATGCCGCCATCATTTGGACGCCAATAATTTAAGCTACAGCTGTATTGCCACTCATAAAATCTCGCTGTCCGTTGGCCTCTCTCTTGAGATAATTCAAATATGAACAGTTTAACTTCAAACACAAGTAAATATATTATTTGCGAATTCTTGTAACCAGAATCAGTCAGCAAATGTTTCCTTCTATGCATCTGCGGATATCTTGTTCCCTCCTACAGAACCACCGATCAGTTTTCTGAAGTACCTTCCCCAGGGTTTTGCCAAACTTCAAAGTAGGGTTTTAAAATCAGAATATCACGTCAATATTCCTGGCCTAGATTCAGACGTCCATTCATTAGCAAACACTATCCAGTCTGTCAATGACAAACTTGCGTCCATGATAACCGACGCTACATCCCTCAATTGTCTCTTTTCACGAGTTCCCACAACTCGAGCAGATTTATGTTTTCGTTTCGTAACAAATACAAATTGACATGAACTGAAACGACTCAGTGCCTTATGTTCGTTTGCTGCAGGGGAGAGACGGTGATCAGCCTGTACTCCGTGCAGCCGGACGAGGCGACTGCGCGTACCCGCCTGCACTTCCTGTCGTGCTGCCGCCTGGGCGGCTGGCTGCCGCAGTCCGCCATCGAGCGCTTCTTCGTGCCGTCCTACCTCGACTTCGCCGCGCACCTGCGCAAGCACGTGCGCAAGTGACATCGACAACGGAACATCGACGGTTCGAAGCATCCACGTTCGAAATTAAAACTTCGTCGTTGATAATTTGACATTGATGGTTTTAAACCGCGGTACTAAAAATTATTTGAAGAATGGAGATCTTCATCCAGTCTCTCCTCCCTAAAAAAGACCCTGGAGATTATTGCCCAACCCCCAAACCACCCTACACTTCGCAGCGGTTCAACACTAAAAAAGAAACGAGGAGTTACTCGATAAAATCCAAACGCTCTGTTTGTCCATGTCGGACCCATCTCACCTTCCACGTTTACTTGTAACTGAGACTATTCTAGAATGTAGAATCTCGTTGTTCTCTTCAGATTCTTTTTCTCCTGTCATGTCGGTCTGCAAGAATGTTAAATTAAGTGGCTTGAATCTGATTTTTGTTTTGTTTTGACGGAATTTTTTCCTTCAAAAATTAAACATTGACGACCTAATTGAGTTCAAAAATCGATACTAAAAACATCGGGTTCAATAAATCGATGATAAAAACTTTGATGTTTTTCACAAAAACTTCGGAGTTTACAATACATTCGACTTCCATGTCGCATCTCCACTCCATTGAAGAGGTCCACATGCTCTCGTGATAGAAACAGTTTTGCCTGATCTGTTTCATCGTTTGGGGGAAACACTAATATTGTCACAACCGAGAGGGTAAAACTGTCATAAATGAAATCAGTCTGCTTCTGATTTTCTTCGCGATCCATTCGTGTTTGTATGTCTTCTGTAAAGCGGGAGTGCTTGCGCGTATTCATGTACCGGATACAGTTGTACAGTTGTATTCATGTACCGGATCTTGTTCATAGAAAGTGAATAGTGGAATCATGAGGAAGAACAAGTATTTCTTTACTTTTCATAAGAATGTAAGTAATGTTTCATATAAATGTAAGTAATCTAAGTAGTAAACAGAGGTGTCAAGGAGTTAAAAACATTTCTGTTGTGATTTTGAACAACTTTCCGTCTTTCCTTTCTAGAGTTTTTGAAAAAAAAATTTACTCAAGATTCTTTCCTTTATTATTGCTGCATATAATTGCAGAATAGTTTCGACACAGGTATTGTTATTATTGTGTAAGTATAAGAAAAGTATAAGAATTCAGTTTGAGCATATCAAATATGTCACGATACATGTCAAATGTAAGGTTAAAAATTTATTCTATGTAATTTTACGTGTTATTTAATGACTTACCCTTGAAATTCTACGAATATAAAATTACGATATCCGGAGACATTAAGTATTTTTGTTTTTGACAGCTCTTAATAAACGTATTTTCACTTACTCTGTCTTACTATGTACTCCAGTAGTAGCTATCCGTAGTTTTACTTTGTCTCCACTAGGATCGTTAGCTGTATGGGCGCATCCCTAATTAGCCAAAAAAACGGGCTAAGCTGCGCTACTATCTTGATACGAATACTGTGGTTCTACTAAAATCGAACCGACAAAACTGGGTGAGTGTGAGTGCCTTCGGGATACAGTTAAACTTAAAACACGGATTTGTAAAACTGTTACGAACGAAAAACTGCTGACTTATAATTTCCTTCAGGATATAGGTTTGTGTATGTCCATATGCTGTAGGTCCGCGCCGGACAAACTTCTTTCCGGACCTAGTGCGCTGAAGGTAGTGACGAGACAAAGCCGAACACTTGCTGGGACAATGGCAAGTAAAGGTAGCGGCTGGCCGGCGGAGAGGTAGGTACGAAGGCGAAGAGGTAGGCAGGCGGAGAGTCAGACGGTCGCCGATCGACCGGATCGACTCCCGCTGGATACGGTTAAACACGAGAGACGCTAACGCAGATGGGAAAACTGTTACTTACTTTAATTGGCTGTCCGGGTGACGCCGCGTCCATGGCGAAGCTGCCGACGTTTCGGTCGCCGTTCTCCGACCTTCCTCAGGGCATATTGAGGAAGATCGCAGAATGGCGATCGAAACGTCGGCACCTTTGTCATGGACGCGGCGTCACCTGGACAGCCAATTAAATACTGACTCCGTCCGCGGAAGCCTACGCTCTCAAACTGTTACTTATCTCAAAAAAGTACGCGCCGTTTAGGGTGCCACGAAGCCACTCGGTGGCGCCACCGATAAGTGGAAGAGCCCTTCATACGCAGCCACCGCCGGCCACCGCAGTTCGCGATGCAGACAGGCGGCCCGCCGGTGGCGGCGAACAAAGCAGCAGAGAAAAGCTCGGTTCAGTCTGTGGCGAGCCTCGCGTGAACGCTGCCATTTAGATGTGTGTCCTGCTGGCGGTGGCGCGACCGCGTTTCTGCGCGTTCTCGCGGGAGACTACCACCGAGCGACACATCAACGTGACTCCGCCGCTCGTGTGAATACCTTCATTTAAACCAATGCTTTGCTAGCAGAACCCTGTCTCGGAAGTGCTGTTGTGTGGCGCCGTGTGAAGGGCCCCTTTTCGATTACAGCGTGGAGTGATCACTCCATCGCTCACTCCACACTCGCGACCGTCTGAATCTTTTATCTACATACGTAATCTTTATATAGATAGAATGTGCTTCAGAATCGAAATAAGTAAATATACTTAAATTTACTGTAATTTGGAGTTGTTCCCTGTAATTTGGAGCTGGTTCATAAGACTATTTGTTTGTCACTTCCGCTCTGAATGAATCTGGTGAGTTTGGGTGCTGAGTTCTGGTTTATCTGTAAAACTAAATTTCTCATAATTATGTCGTTTTCTAAATCGCTCATTTTCATGAATTCAGTAACATTTTCTATCGTTTTCTTTCTTTCAAATTCTCTTCCATTTTCTTAACATATGTATTCAGAGGGGTATTGGAAAAATTTTTAAATCTTGTAATTTGAAGAAGTTCATAAGATGGTTCTTAGTGGTTCAGTGAAAAGATAACGGCATTAGATGCGGTCTTTACAAGGGAGTTTGGACACTAAGACCATTTTTATGACCCAAAATTATCATTCCAATAACTAGGCTACTTTGCTAAATCCTTAATGCCACTTCACGTCAAAACGACTCAAGGTTTATATTTGGTTCAGTCACTTGATTCTAATTTGCATTTACATTTAGTTGTTGATTTTCTTGTAAAAATAATACTGTTATTTTCTCAGGAAGGTCGTGACCCCTGTAGGTATCTCAAACTGAATCTTTCATAATGCTTACATGGTCCTTAAATATTGATCATTTTATTAAAAAAATATTTTTCACGAGTGTACCGAGCCCGACAGGGTGACGAGCTTATTGAGCAGCTATGACTTCTAGATAATCTGCAAGAGCGAACGATCAGTTCTCTGATTTAGGACCATAGGAAGTACCATAAGTTGTGTCAAGTTAAAATATATGAATTAAGTGAATGAATGTGAAGATACGGAAATGACGCATCATGTTAATATGAAGAATAATGCAATTGCGGTGATATGACTACATATTCTGTAGCGCTTACATTTGTTTTTGTAAGATATTTATTGCATGATAATTTTTTGCCTTAGAAAATGTAAAATATATATTTCTTGCAATGATTTTTTACGCAATGCAATTTTTGCATTGATTTATGTGGAAACATTTAGCTTTTAAAGAATATACGTAAAGATTTTCATATTTCACTCATGTTTCTACTTTATGAAAATAACCTTTGTGAACCATTTCCTTTCTACTTCATTCCCTCATATGGTATGTTCATTTCAGACCAGTTGCATGGTCATACTTTGAGAGAAACGGAATCATCAATTTGTTCTGCTAGATGTCAAAGTCCTTAAATTGAACATTTTTTTAATTTTTAATAAACAAATTTTCCAATTCTTTTTTCCCACAACTGTGCAAAATAACTCATTATATTGTGGTTTTTTAGTGATCTTTGAGAGATTTTTCCAGCCCTCGTCTCCCTTTCTAACCACGCAACGTAATGTGTTAATCGATTTAATCAAAATTATTTATTTTGAGTGGGAGATCGGTTTGGCTGACGCAGGTGCTTGTGGCTTTTACGGTCAAGAATGTCTGTGGATTACAATCCCGCTCAATGTTCTTGAGTGTTGTGACTTGGTGCGCAGTACTAACATATCGTGTATCACCCTCGAACTTAAAATCCTATCCTTAATTCCTTTCCCTTCTGTCCAGTGAGCAAGGGATTAGACCAGGTGCGCGGCGCAAGAGTGAACGGACCCCAGCGTCAACGCCATCTGTAGGTGTCGCCTGGCTCCTTTCTTCTATTACATGACCAAGCGCGATTTGCGTAACGTCCCAAAGTATGAATACAATATTCAAGCCACGTCGGCGTGATGGAGACTGATAATGTTCTTGGTGGCTGCACCTGGAATAAAGAGCCGCAGACGGGGATGGGGGACATCTGTAAGAGCAGAAAGTCGTAAAACGTGGAAAGCAGGCTGAGTCGACTTCAGGTCCGCCGTGAATGGAAATCACTAGATAAATATCCTAACCTATGTTACGTTTCCAACCCGTGTCCTTTAGGCTAGGCTGCCTGCGCCCTACCACTAAGCCACTGCTGCTGCTAGCTAACCTTACAATTTAATATATTATTTACGCTATGTATAATATTATAGAACTTTGCACAAATAATGTTGACGTTTCGGAGAGTGAGCGCATTGTTTACGATAGTAACGAGACAGCATTGTTTAGAGAATGCTTTTCTTTTGTGTATATTGATTGATAATATGAAAACGATGTTACGAAAATACTGCAATGAAAGTTTCATGTATGAATTGTTATTAATGAATGGAGAAATACTGTGGAAAAGTTAATGGAAAATCACCTGGTGTGGTGTGATAAATGATTGCATTGGAGGTGTGAGTCCTTGTTGTGGGTGAATGAGCCTGCAATTATCACAGTGCGGTGTTTACACTCCCGCCCTTGAGTCACCTCTTGTTTCTCGCGTAACGATAATTTCATTGATCTCATGACGACCACTGCACGATGAATAACTATGACGAAAGGTATGATATACGATTCGAAGCGTGATTGTGATGGTAATGGTTTTAAGCGAGAAAGAGTTGATGACGTGGTTAAAAACACAAGATGATCTCATATCGTTTAGTTGAAAATTTATATAAATTTATTTATAATGAATATTAAATCAGATTTAATTCATGCTGTTTCTACAGTTAAACTGTCATTTATGTGGTTAACATTTACCTACCTATTCCATTAGTATTCATGCTGAGGCATTCATCTCAGACTAATTGTTTTTCCATATAGTGAAGTTGTGCAATATAACGTGAATCTTTAGTGCGTATTAACTATTAGGCGTTTTGGCAGATTACACAACTTTGATACATGTTCAGAAAGTTTCTGCGTCTATCCTATAGTCCTATACAACGTTTCCTGCAAATAAGTATAATTTTGTGTATCAGGCAGCTATTTTTCCTAAATGAAAATCGCATTTCACGAAAGACGTGATGCAAGATTTGAATAGCAACACGATTTCTGAAGTTTCCGATTGTAGCTCTCAACTAAAACTTCAAACTCGTTCTACTGGTAGAATACTCCATATCACATGGATGCCAAACATGTTCAAAATAGAAGTGAGGATAATCCTAAGAGTGTTAAAGTGGATTATGATGTCATGCCTATCCCTGAACACTTTTGGTTGTTTTTAAATATTAAACGTTTGTAAGACATTTTTAGTTCAAAACGTGAGGAAAAACTGAGTTTCCTTTGAATGTACGACACCTTATGCATTGCGTGATTATAATAGCTGATATGATATGTACGACTTTAATAAAACGTGTACTGGAACGTAGATCTATTTCTGTTTATTTCCAGTAGATATACATGCAGTAAATTGTTTTTGTGGAGAACATACAGTTCCTAAAAATATGCTTTCGTTTTTTGTTTTTTAGCTACATAAAAGTCGAAAACAGGATTGTCGTGTGATTAGTTACAATATTGATTAGCTGTTCAATTTACGTCAGTTCAGAACAAGTCTAGCTCAACCCATTTCTAGGCGGAACTTGAAATGTCCCACTATTCCACATTGAATTTCTTATTTTAAATGGAAAGACCGCAGAGCAGCTTCGTCTGTTCCAAGCGTCCACCTTGTGTCGACCTGTGTAGGAGGGGACTTCATCGGCATCGTCTAGGTGGGTTTCTCGTCTCACGCGTACCGTAAAATTCGCCTTGACGGCGACGAAGAAGGCAAGACCGCGTGGTGGCGTGATCGAATCGCCCACTGTCGGAGCCATAACCGCCCGCGACCTGTCCGATCTCGTTCGCGCGCAGTTCGCTCGTTGCGAACGCGACCGCTGGGTCGGTGGGCGATCCGCGGGGGTGTCTGGGGGCAGCGCAGCGCACTGTGGTCCCAAATATCCAAATCGTGGCCAAGAAAAAAAACAAACTTCCACTTGGTAAGTTTTAACTATTGGATTGGTTGTAGTAGTACTTTCAAGAAACGCCGTTGGATTGAATAATTGATTGATGATTCCAGACGCGTCAACTGATGAGGTGATTAGTCCCGTAAGTGTAGAGCATTTTTGTCTCGGAAGGTGGCGGTGATCTTTACCCCCGCTGGATGGTGAAATCGGGCGCTGACCTATCGTCAGATTGCGGGGTATCTCCCACCAGGGAGGCACCGCCCCAGACGGGACAAGCTCTAAGCCTTCGACCTGCCTCCCGGCAAGCGTGGTAATGTAGTACATGTAAGTAAAGGGTGAGGATAGGACAAGGCGAGAGAGGAAAGATGCACGCGTCCGTGGCCCGTTTGTTAGGGTAATGCTCTTTGGTACTGATCAGAGAAACCACGAGTCAGAACAGCTGGCCGCTAGGCTTTTCCTCCAGACAACGACTGAATTCGACCTAGCTAAGTAGCTAGTGTCGAAAATCCTGCCGTCGTAGGTACTCGAACCTAGGCGTAGGTAGGTACGTCGTAGGTACTCGAACCTCCCGGTCATAGGCACTGC